AGGTTTTCCAAAAAGTAGGTCATCATGCCTGGAAAGTTTCGTGACGTTGAACTTTCCGTACATAAGTCTCTGATCGAGACAAATGAATAGCATGCAGTAGTGGGTGACCTGCCCTGCCGAGGACGGGCTTCCATCTACTGTGGTGATCCGGAAGGGTTTCTTGAGCAAGTGGGTTCGGATCCCATTTCGCTTGACAAAGTCATAGCTAATGAAGGTCCCACCGGCCCCTGAGTCGATGATGGCGGTCGACTGAACGGTTTTAGCACTGCATAAAGAGAAAAGTGTCACCGGGACACGGAACTCATTGGATTTACCAACAGCTTTAGTATACAATGCGCAGATAGAGGGAATTGACCGTTCGACAAGCCCTCTCTTTAAAAATCCTTTCTAACTCGGCCGACAGTTACGTCTTCCTCGTCAGAAGACTCGTCAAGCTGGCGGACGCCAGACTTGCTTGGCTTCTTGCCGTCGTGTTCTTCGTCGTTCTTGTCTCCTCGGCGCACCTTCGGGTGGAACCGGGAATCGTTTGCTCAATGACCCTTCTCCTTGCATTTGAAGCAAAGGCCTTTGTCGTAGCACTTCTGTCGTTCCTCAGGCGTGAGGGTTCGATCTATGTCCATAGCGTCAGGGTCGCGTTGGCGAGCCTGGGGCCTGGGGACATGCCGGTTCCCGGAAGGTCGTACCGTTCTCTGGGAGGTTACTCCGGCCTTGCATCGCTTGTAGTTGGATTCCAACTGTATGGCGGCGGTGTACCATTTATCAATGGATGTCGGGACCACTTCCTTGTTGTAGATGGAGGCGCGGAGTCCTGGTTTCAAACCACGTTCGAAAAAGTGGATGAGGGAGACGTCCTGCTTCAGGCTAGCAGTGGAGGACAGGGTCTTGAAAGTCGCGATGTAGGGCATCACGTCACCGGTCTGGACAAGACTGTGGAGTTTGGTCAACGCCTCAGTCATGCGGTCAGCGGGATGGAAGGCTTCAATGAAGTCCTTCTTGAATTTCTTCCACGTCCCGAAGTTCGGTGGGGACTTGGCGAAGGCTTCCCGGTAGAAGGTGTCTGCCCAGATGCGAGCGTCTCCGGTGGTCATATACTGGAGGGTAACAGCGACCTTAGTCTGGTCGGTGTTGTAGATCGTCGGGTTGATGAGGAAGTATGTCTCGACTGAAAACATCCAGCGTTCAGCGTCATCGATGCTTCCTCCATAATGTTGGGGTACTCCAGCCTTTAGCTCAGGCCTGGTAGTCGTCGTCGTCAGTGTGCCTCCAGACATTCTTGTTCTGGGGTTCGAGTTGAGGTTACCGGTTGATTGTTCGTCAGGAAACTCGTCGGAGGATGTAGAATCACGTTCCGATTCTGGTTCGGTGTCGGAGTCAGGAGTGTTGGGATCACGTTCCCAAGGATGTCTCCTAGTCCAGGTAGTCGTCTTGACTGTCTGTCAATAGGCCGCGCGGATGGCGGGGCGTCGGTTTGAGGTAACTTGAATCTTTTGTTACGGACTCAAATAGATCTGCTATGCAGAGTCCTAAGAGGGACGTCGTCTGCTAGCGTTCGTGACGTAACCGGAAGGGTCCGGTCTGCGAGTGAGTCCGGCGACGTGTACGTCGGCGGATGTCAAGGACACGCTGTCACGTGACTTCTAAGACGGGTGTCTTTGAAGTCGTCTCGATGTCTGGACACAAGTGTCCGGACGAAGAGAGTCGATCGAGGTAGACTTAGGTGCAACGAGCACCTAAGAGTAAGATACTAGAGACTGAAGCTTAGGGAGCTTCAGAGAGAAGTATGTTCAGGAGGAAGATTGAGTAGATTCAAGTTAGGGAATCTAGTACAAGATGACCGACTACTTATACTAAGTGAGAGGGTTAAGGGCAAGCGTACCGTACGGTAGGTAAGGGTCAAGGGGGAACGGATATGGTATAGGTACGTTGGTAGCAATGCCTGATTAGTGGTGGGTGGTCGAATGAGGAATGAGACCGAGAAACGTTGGAACGAACCAACGGTAAAAGTTACAATGCGCAGCACGCATGAGTCAGAGGACAGATAAGGCCAGGATAAGGAGAGCCACATTGGTGGCATGAGTCAGAGTCGAGTCATAGCCCGAAGGCACGTGCGCACGTTGGTGCGAGAGGGGGGAGGCGAGGGACAGGAACGGTCCCGAGGATCCGGTCAACGGATAAGCGGTAGAGGAGGATGAGCCGGAGACAGGTGCAGGCGAGGATGAAGGGAAAATGATAGGGGGGCCATGTGACCGATGTTACTTGTAACATTGGCCGAACAATGGGGGCGCAATGAAGATGTGATTGGAGTTAGATTATGGGGATAATTAGCAACTGAAAACTTGTGAGGTATCGACCCGCCGAGATGGTTTGCCAACTTACTAAGCTTGCGACACTTGGAACATTTCTTCTCCTTGACGACGGAGCTCATCGTTGAGATGGGTGGACTCGAGACGTGCTCGAGAACGGTCATTGATGAGCGAGTCCGTTTTGACTCCCGCGCAGTGCCTATGACGCTCAGCAGAGACTTTGGGATCGTCAAAGTTTGTGATGAAGGCTTGGAGGGGTTGGGGAATGGGGATCGGAGGGAGTAATAGCTCTCGTGGTGGGTAGATGCCCCTGGATGAACCGTCCGCTGGGTTGTGCTTGCTTGGCATGTAGCGGGTGAGGAGCGTGCACTTGGTTGACGCCGTGAGCTCATGGATCCGTTTGAATATGGTGTTTGTGGCCCTGTTCCGGCTTCGTCCTTTCCACCAGCCCTCGACGACACCTCTGTTGTCGCCGAAAACTTTGATGCAGCTGCCTTCTGGGCACTGATTGAGGAGTGAGACAGCAAGGAATTCCATACCGATTGCCTCCGCCCAGCCGATGTCTCGGTCTTCGTCTTTCCAGCCTGGGAGGAGGCGCCATGCCCTCCATCTGCTGTTGATCCAAATCGCGACGCCAGTACCTGAGCTAGCATCTGAGTAAGCCGAGGGTTCAATGACCTCGATTGGCCCTGGGATGGATCGAGCGACGACTGGCATGGCGAGATTGGCTCTCCACCAGCGGAGATCTTCGCTTGTGTGCTTGGGGGGGGTATGAAGCATGTGCGGACGATTATGGAAGATGGAAAGCATTTTTTCGAGGGAGGTGAGGTAAGCCTGTCCCGCAGGAAGGACCAAGGAGATGTGTAGAAGCTTTCCATATAGCTCCTGGACTTGCTGCAGGGTGTGCAAAGATCTAGCTTCCCATTCCCGTATCGCTGCCAGGTACTTTTCCTTCTTCTTGGGAGGGATTGAAATGGAACGCGCCGCGAGGTCCCAGAGATAGCCAATGAATGGAGCGCTCGAGGCAAACAGAATGTCCTTAGCCAATTCCCATGGGATTCCCAGGATTTTGGATAGACGGTTGATGTCGTCGAAGCAGAAGGTAAACAAAGCGTCTTCTGGAGAACGCGTGGATATTTGTGATAGGTCGAGGATGGGAAAGATAAAGTCTTCGTCGAATTCCTCGATTCTCCCGTCTGGTATGGTGGAACCGCGATACCACCTGCACCCCCCATCCACGAGCATTCCCCCATTCCTTGCAACGATGGAAGCACGAACCTTGCGCATTGCATTGTAGCTCTTGAGGTGCTCACGCAGGATCCGGACGAATAGGTGGTCGTCCACCCATTTCGATATCGGACCGATCCCTTGTGACCTGAAGAGGTCAGCTCCTGCATCTGCGACCTCGCCGTACGTTCCAGCGGAGGCAGAGAAGCCAAAACAGAAGCTGGAGTCAATGGCAAAGGTGTCCTCCCCGGTTCTAACGACCAAACCTGGCCATTGGGAAGGGTGGAGAGGGACTGTTCGATAAGCCTCGGCCACGTCGCGAACTGCTGCTTGCAACCCAGGTGGAAGCGACCAGATGAGGAGACATATGGTGGAAGCCGTGCCCCAGGTGCATGGGTATAGGTTAGAGTCAATGGCAGAATTGATAGAGCATATTGTAGCGGACGGGTGAAGTGGAAATGATAAGTTTTGCACGAGCCTGAACCTTCCTGGTTTTCCTGGCTTGGGGACCATTGAAAGCGGGGCTGTCTGAAAAGGACCGATGAGTTCCTCTGTTTCCGCCCTGGATAGAGGACCGATGTAACGTCCCGTAGAGTATTCTCGTTCCAAAATGATAGCGAAAGCGTCATGTTGCATAAGTAAAGAAGGACTATTAGGAGGGGAAAAGGTGTTATGGATAGTAGGTACACTGCCCAAGAAGCCGAAACGAAAGCCGTTTGGAATATGTGCATATTTATTAATGAGATTCGATTCTTTGAGAAGGTATAACCACGCCTCGGGCTTGTAAGGAGTGAGAGCCTCAGACACTCTCGCCTTGAGGACACCCTTGAGCCCCATGATCCTTTGCCCCACATCCTGAACATTTGTGCACGTGCAAACGGGCGGTGTTGGAACACCCTCTTGGCCTTTGCCAATCGTAGCAGAGTTCGAGTCCCTTGGGATTGACCAAGTGTCCCTCGGAGTTGCGATGGCATCGGGTCTTGGTGCGCTTGTCCCACAGGAATTCGGAAGCGCACTTGTGGATGGGGTGCTTGAAACGGCCGAGGCAGAGGGCGCAGGCTGATGGGCCGGAGTTGCCTGCGCCCGCCAGAAAAGACGCCTGGCCTTTGACCGGCTTCTTAGCTGCCTGGTTTGGGGTCCGATATGGATGGTAGCGGTTGTCGTTTGGGGTGGGAGGTTACCCCGCCTGCTTGCTCCGATCCGCGTTGATTTCTCGCCCTTGATGGCGATATGACGGGTTCGGAGCCACAATTGAGTTCTGCAGCTGTCAGATTGGGGATGGGAAGTGACAGTGATATGGTTTGAGTGACGGGGAGGGTAGCAGAAGCAACAGCACGATTATTCAGGTAAGCGATTGAGCAATGTGAGCGGGAGTGGGAGCGAAACACGTTTTGTTAGCGGTAGCGCAGAAGACATTGCCAATGGAATGGCAGGGAAGCAGTTAGGCAAGCGAAGATAGGAAGGGAAGAGTTATCCCGGTAGCATGAAGCGTTGATATCGATGTAGTCGGGCGAGCAGACGCAATCGATAATTTAAAGGGGAAATGGGGTATATTTGATTATGAAGCGTTATGGTCAGCGTCTGAAGGATTCTCACCAGATGGGACTTTGATAGACAATGCACCAATTTTAGTCCCTCATCTCGCTCCGTTTCCCATACGTCGTCTGAAATGGAATTGTACAAGGCGTTGTTGAAGAGGCCTATGTTGAAGCCCTGGTTCTGAGTCAACCGATCGTGCCACTCGCGCCTCAAGAACCCAGCATAGCGGAGCAATGTCTTCTCTCCCCGTGGGCGCATGCGGTGCTCATGATTGGTTATGAGGGTGAAGAACAGTGCCAACGCCTGCTGGTGTTTCTCCGGCCATCCACCCTTCTCGATGTGAACAAGAAAGCTTGTTTTGGCTAAGTCGAATTGCCGCCATGATAAGTCGTGGTCCTGTATCGCTTTCTGGGAGGCTCTGAAGGACGCTAACGTCTTTAGGGCAATTACACCATCAACTTTGGCAAACCCATAGGCGTCGTCCGCATCCGAAGTGGACCTGGATGTAATGGATGCCTCATGGCAACCGTCAGGGCTAAAATACCATAGTTCTACGTACTCCATGTTCTTGATTCTTTGAATGGCATATTGCGATGGGTGAGGTATGATAACGTCTGCAACTATTGAGCTCGCATCGAAGTCGTTGATCTTCGGTTTCTTCTTTTCGGCTTCACGTTGTTCCTCTTGTTCCTCTGCTGCCTTCTTGGCTCTCTCGCGCTCCTCTTGCTCGCGAAGAGCATGATCGTCTTCTTCTGTTTGTTCCTGCCAGAGAACGATTCTTTCCTGGCATTCAAACCTCCATCCGTCGGCCATGTTCCTGAGGGCGTCTTCCCTGGTTATGCCCCCAGTGACGAGAGCATTGAGCCAGCCAGTGTATGCGGCTGATTCGAAATTGGGCTGCGCTTCGAGAGCGGGATTAGTCGGAATGCGCTCCATGACGGGGCTTGTGAATTTGAAAGTAATATATTTCGCAGAAAAAGGTGCGAGATAATTACCACCGTGCAAAGGGAAGAAAAGAAAGAGGATGAAAGAGAACGTCGTTGAGGACGACAGAGAAGAGAGGATACGTCGTCGCAGTACGAGAACAAAAGTGCGTACTGCCTCCGACGCTTGCGCAAAGACCTAACTCTATTCCTTCACTCGTTCCTCGTTACGTAATAGAGAATCAATTAAGTCTAGACCAGAAGCTTGCTGTCCACTTATTTTTAACCTTGCTTATTGTACAGAAGTTAAAAATAAGTGAGGTAAGGAACCGGGTGTTGTACGAGATGTCCAAACCCAGCGAGTACTCCTGCTCCTCTTCAGCCTTGCGATCTTCTCGTTTTAGCTGCTTTAACACCCTATGGCAATGTACTTTTGCTGTCAAAATCTGATGTTGACTGTAAACGAGGCTATGGTGGATGCTGCGAGTGGTTTCCATCTGTTCACTGCATCGGCACGGATGTCATTAGGATGCTGTGGTTCACTCCAAGTTTATAATCCGTCAGGACCTTCCAGCTACTGCAGTATTTCGTAACCTCCAGCACGCATCTTACTCAAGTGTCAGTTCGAATCATTTCTCAGCCATCATTTTCATGATGGTTCGTCGTCGACGTGTCAAATTCGAGTCTTCAGCCTCATCAGAATCAGATTCTGACTCTGACTTTTTCTCAGCCATCATTTTCATGATGGTTCGTCGTCGACGTGTCACATTCGAGTCTTCAGCCTCATCAGAATCAGATTCTGACTCTGACTTTTCTTCAGCGTCATCGCGTAAATGTTCCTCAACTCCTCTAGTAGAGAATTCCGCTACCAGCATCGAGCCCTTGAAGGAGAGAAAACATAAGCGTAAGTCCTCAGGCAGCCATGGCGAAAACAAGACGAAGAGTTCAAAACGTCCACGATCGTACGTCGGTGTTGTTTAGCACGTGCATGGACTTAATTGCATTTCCAGGCAAGAACAGCACGAGTAAGTATATGAAGCACCGATCATCCACATGCCTGACAACGTGTGTATTGTTTAGTGAGCAGCCAAGCTATCCAGGATGCACCCAGGACTCAGGAGAGATGCACTTCAGAGGAGTGCAACAAGTCGTCATCACTGGTATGTGATATCTCAGGCTATCTCCGCTCGGCTCATATGGATGATTTCCCCAAGCCATTTGCGCAACTGATCTCACTCTTGGTCTCCGACGGATACCCGCTGGCTTCCATGCGGTGGTCAAGGCTGACGGCGATGAATATCAGACAAGCAACAAATCTGTAAACGTAGACCAGGCTGCCATCGAATGGCACGAGCGCATTCTGCTGTAAGTCATCCCTAACCTCGTCTGTCCTGCAGGTATTGAGAAAGACTCTAGGCCGTGCGATCCATCTTCTAAAGTTTGGGTCAGCGTGTATGCCTCATTCGAATTGGGACCCATGGTCTGTCACGGAGAACTCCTCCGCACACTCGAGATCTCCGTCGGGGAATTACTGGATCGCAGCGAAAAATCGCATCGTCAGTATCTTCTATCGCAAATAACGCCTGAAAGATGCTAACGAGTATCACAGCCATTATCTTTCAGCCAAAGCAGGAGGAAGCCGTATCGGCTTGCACTTCACTGTTCATGAGAGTGGAGAAGCAACTTTGTGATCAAAACGAAGCCGCAGTTCTTCAACCCCTTACTCCAGTGAGTAATAAATACAGTCTGGCAATCTGATGCTGACAGCATGCAACGTGCAGGTTACATGCCGCAATATGGAGACGTTAGCACTGGAGACGGATGCCGGACATCGTCTTCTCGCACAATACCGCAGGACGCAGAACAGCAGGGATCTCGAACAATCCATAAACCACTTTGAACGAGCCTGGGATATCTGCTCCATGGATCATCCCTACCACCCTGCAGCACTGTTCAATCTGGCCACGGCAGAGTTTGTTAGTTGTCAAGCTGACGAGAGATACCTCGACCTCGACATCCCTATCACTCTTTTTCAAGGGGCCCTCGACTTGCGTGCCGCTGATCATCCGGATCGAAGCGTCGGCCAGCTCCATCTTGCCATAGCTTTGCTCTGGCGGTTCGCGAAACGGGGATTTGAATCGGATGCGGATGCAGCTGAAGAGTTGCTGAGCGAAGTTCTCGAAGTCTGCCAGGCCAACAGCCACATTTACAGAGCAGCTTTGATCGCAATGGAAATACGGGCTCTGCATTCTGGTGAAAGCATCGATGCAAATGATGTTGAGGAGGAGCGGCCCGCCACATCGATGGTTCCGTTATCGCCGAATCAAGTTACTGATCGAGCAGAGTGGTGTTTGCAGAGAGAAGAATCCAGTGCCTTGGATGAAGTGATATCCCTTCGTTATGATGCACTGAGACACCACAACACCGGGTATATTTACCTAGGGCATTTGCTAGATAATCTGGCTCTAATGGTGCAAACTCGCTTCGAGCGTCGAGGCAATGATAAAGACTTGGATGAGGCTATCGCGCTTCACAGAGAAGCGCTGGCTTTACGCCCGGTCGGTGACACAGATCGGTCCAGCTCATTAAACAACCTTGCGACTCAACTCTCCTCCCGCTTTCGCCACCGTGTCAAGGACGAAGACTTGGATGAGGCTATCGCACTGAATAGGGAAGCGCTGGCTTTACGCCCGGTCGGTCACACAGATCGGTCCAGCTCATTAAACAACCTTGCGACTCAACTCTCCTCCCGCTTTCGCCACCGAGGCAAGGACGAAGACTTGGATGAGGCTATCGCACTGAATAGGGAAGCGCTGGCTTTACGCCCGGTCGGTCACACAGATTGGTCCATGTCATTCAACCTCGCGGTTGAACTCTCCTCCCGATTTGAGCACCGAGGGAACGACGAATACTTGGATCAGTCTATCGCACTTGACAGGGAAGCGCTGGCTTTATGCCCGGTCGGTCACACAGATCGGTCTGGGTCATTAAACAACCTCGCTCTTCGACTCTCCTTCCGCTTCGAACACCGAGGCAACGACGAAGACTTGGATCAGGCTATCGCACTTCACAGAGAAGCGCTGGCTTTGTGCCCGGTCGGTCACACAGATCGGTCCATGTCAATGAATAACCTCGCGAGTGGACTCTTCTCCCGCTTTGAGCACCGAGGCAAGGACGAAGACTTGGATCAGGCTATCGCACTTAACAGGGAAGCACTGGCTTTACACCCCGTGGGTCACATAGATCGGTCCATGTCATTAAACAGCCTCGCGATTAAACTCTCCTCCCGCTTTGAGCACCGAGAGAACGACGAAGACTTGGATGAGGCTATGGAACTTCACAGGGAAGCGCTGGCTTCATGCCCGGTCGGTGACACAGATCGGTCCATCTTATTAAACAACCTCGCGGTTTTTCTCTCCACTCGCTTTCAGCACCGAGGCAACGACGAAGACTTGGATCAGGCTATCGCATTTCACAGGGAAGCACTGGTTTTGCGCCCGGTCGGTCACACAGATCGGTCCGACTCATTAAAGAACCTTGCCAATGATCTCTCCACCCGCTTTGAGCACCAACGCAATAGAGAAGACCTCGACGAGTCACGAGAAAACCTACGCTGTGCATTGACTCTCTTGACGCAACATAATCTTCATCAATTAGGAGTTCTTCAGTCGCTAGCTGGGGTCTATTTATCATTCCATCGTTCAGGGCTTGACGACACCGGTGCGGACGAAAATACAGACAGTCTCAATGCTGCCATGCATCATCTCAAGGCAGCAGCAAATGTTGTCTCTGGAGGCTTGCTACCCCGCCTGCGGGCAAGTCTGCATTGGGCACGCCATGCTAGTGAATATTCACATGGCACTCAACTGGAGGCATATGCTATCTCTATGCAACTCCTGGACGCTTACGTGTCTGTGACGGCCTCTGTGTCGTCTCGTCATAATGCCATGAAGGAATTCTCAAGGACACTTGCCGTGGATGCTGCATCTTGTGCTCTTCGCAATGGCGATGTGCGTCGCGCTGTTGAGCTGTTAGAGCAAGGCAGAACTATTATCTGGACTCAGATGGCACGGCTCCACACGCCTCTTGATATCCTCCAGACTCGCGGCGATCATGCAGTGACTCTGATGAAGAGATTCACAGACCTTAGCTTCCTCCTTCACCAGCCTCCTGTGAGTCATCCAGAAGGCACCCCAAGAGTTGACGTAGAAGTAGAAGAAATCCGGTACAGACGTCTGGTGGAGGACTGGAATAGGACTGCAGAAGAGATCCGGAAGATTGAGGGCTTCTCCCGCTTCCTCCTTCCCCCCTTGTTTTCCGATCTTCAAGATGCAGGTCGTGATGGGCCCATCATCGTGCTCGTCGCGAGCGAATCATCTTGCGATGCCATCATTGTTCCTCACAAGCAACCTCCCACTAGCATTCCACTCCCCACCTGTGTGCACAAACTTGCTGAATTGGAGCTCGCATTCCGAGAGGCAGTTCCCAAGGATGCTGGTCCTAAAGGGAACCAACGAGCGCTGATGGAAGCTTTGAGAGAGCTGTGGGACGTCGTCGTCCGCCCGGTGGTCGAAAACCTGGGTGGAATTGCGCGACGAGGTTCTCGAATATGGTGGTGCCCCACGTCTGTCTTCAATTTCTTGCCGTTGCACGCTGCCGGCGAATACAGGAAGGATGGAGAGTCCCTTTCACGGCACTATATATCTTCATACACCCCATCGCTCACCGCGCTGATCAGGGCTCGCGCAAGTCATAACAGGTCTCCGTCTGTGCCCTTTGTCGCCATTGGTCAGAATCACCCGGCCGGTCTCTCATTCACTTTGGATGCCGTAGAGCCTGAGCTGGAATTGGTGCGGACACTCTTACCCCCTCCCCCAACCGTTTCCTTCTCCAAGATAACCAGCGTTGATGCCACGAAATCGACAGCTCTGCGCGCATTGCAAGACAATACGTGGTTCCATCTTGCGTGTCATGGGAAGCAGAGATTAGACGAACCCTTCCAATCGGCCTTTCTCATGCGCGACCAGCCGCTTTCACTCCTCGATATCGCTCAGATGGATCTGTCTCGGCATCAATTTGCATTCCTTTCTGCCTGTGAAACCGCAGTCGGTGACTCCAGCACGCCCGACGAAGTGATACACCTAGCGGCTGGCTTGCAATTTGCCGGGGTCAAGAGTGTCGTCGGGACGTTATGGAAGGTCGATGATCCTACTGTGCAGCGTTTAGTCGAGGCATTCTACAAAAACTTATGTGGGGATGGCACTATGAATTCCAAACGAGCTGCTCGCGCATTGCACCAAGCAGTCCAGTTGTTGGCCAGCGATAGGGACATTCCCTTGGCCCAGCGCATAGTGTTCGTGCATATTGGCATATGATCAATTCCGTGCGTCCTGCCGCCTTATTAATGAAACCATTCTAACGACTTCTCATCCAGTCATGACCACGCGGAACCTGTTACAAAGGACTTCAATATTCCAGACTTGAAGACTGTGTACCTCTACGATGTGTATACCCGATTTTGACTTCAATCTGAATTTGTTGCCTCGGAGCCAGAGGTGATCGATTGATCGCTCAGGGTGCATTGACGTGGGCCTCTGAGAATGAAGTTGCACGATGCTGAACTAGCATAACACTCCATGTGGCAAGTCTGACACAATTTGCAATAAACGTGATAGTTGAGTATCTGAATTGCGCGAGGGGTTCGAATACACTTCTCCTTAGTGTGCAGCCAGTGCCTGTGAAGAGCTGGACCCTGGCAGGATAGACAGACCAGGCCATCATGACATAATTAAGTAGTCGTTCGTTCTGTTTCGGAATCGATACTAAAAGTGTTGTAACATTGTATGTAAAGTAGGATCGAAAACATCCAGTCAAATCATAGATCATACAAAGGATATATAGTGTATGTATGCGCAAGAGGATATATTCTGACTAGTAACTCATCTCAAAGCCTGAGTTGTAGTGAAGGACGCCGGATTTGGTGGTCTAGGCCATTGATCGATCGATCGATCGCTCTTACTTACGATTATGTAACGTATACTTCAGTCTCATTTCAACTGCTCTAATCAACATCGCACCCTACGACGTGCCTCTGCTGTACAAATCTGATGCTCACTGTAAATGAGACCATGGTAGGATTCTGCGAAGTCACTTCTATCCGACTCTGTTGACTGCATCAGCACTCTTGAGAGGAGTTTATGGGAGCGGATAGAATCTAACAGGTAACAAGTCTCAGTATCTGGGAACAGAACTCTGCATTGATGAAACGTGTACCTAACAGGTAACAACTACGTAATGTTAGCATTTTGGACAAAAGGTAAGGTATAGTAAACTCACGTCTCAGTATCTGGGAACAGAACTGAGGCGCTCGTTTGGCTCTGCTATAGGTTTTATATGGTAAGTGTTCCTAAACGTTATATTGAAGTAAAACATTGATACTTGGTAGTTTTCGGCCCCGACGTCACTTCTGTCATTGTCGTGCCTCTCTCTCCTTGCGCTCGGACATTCTATTCGTCATCCTGCCCCTTTGCTTCGGTCTCATCGGCCTTGTTCGACTCTGAGGCTTCAGACGTCGACGACACTCCCCCTCGAGCGCAAGCTAGTCCCATCAGGGCCCTTAGCTTTTGCAAATGGGGGCGTGGCACAGCCTTGGTAAACGCATCGGCCACATTGTCGTCAGTGGGGCAATAGAGAATCTTGAAGGTCCCGTCCTTCACATATGAGCGTACAAAGTGGTAACGCAAGTCGATATGCTTGGTACGTGACTGGAACTTTCTGTTTGATGCTAATGCGATGGCGGCCTGATTATCGCAGAATATTGGAATGGGGAGAGTGGGGGGGTCGTAGAGTTCGGTGAGGAGGAGTTTTAGGTACAGTAGCTCCCGGACAACGCTAGTAAGTGCTATATACTCCGCTTCGGCTGTGGATAGCGCGATTAATGGTTGTTTTCGGGCACTCCAGGCGACTGGACCTCCATTCAACATTACGATGTAACCAGACATGGAGTGCCTATGCAGTTGGGATGCCCAATCCGCATTGACGAACGCCTCCAGGCCAGCATCGTTGGAACCTAAGGTAAGTTCAAATCCATCAGTGGCCTTCAGATAACGTAGCGCGCGTTTAGCTGCCTCCCAATGCGCCCTGCCGGGACTGCGCATGAACTGCGACAAAGTCGTGACAGCGAAGGCTATGTCCAGGCGGGTGCTGGTCGCTGCGTACATCAATGATCCGATAGCATGTTGATACGGTACGTCCTTCATGGCCTCGACTTCTGAGTGCGTGGATGGGGATTGATCTGTGGATAGTGTGATGGCAGACTCCATGGGCGTTTGGACTGATTTTGCCTCGTCCAGGCGAAAATGTTCGACTATGGTGGCCACATAGGCCTTCTGGGACAATGTCAAGGTGCGTGATACTCTGTCTCGCGTTACCTTCAATCCCAGGAGCCAACTTAGTTCCCCCAAGTCCGAAATCTCGAAGTACTGTTGGAGCTGGTCTTTGAACCGGTGGATGTGAGAGAGGTGGTTCGAAGTCACGGCCATGTCGTCGACGGAGACCGTTATGACCATCTTTTCGTCGGAGGTACGTTTGAAATAGACCGCTTGATCAACTCCTGACCTGCTGAATCCTAGCTTCGCAAACACTCCCGCCAACTCTTCCGCCCACTCGAATCCTGCCTGCTTAAGTCCCGGTAAGCTCCTCTTTAACCTCAACACCTTTCCACGTTGATCCTCCCTTAGGTACCCCGGTGGCGCCCTCATATAAATTTCCTCTTGGATGCTTGCATACAGGTACGCGCTCTTGATGTCGACTTGGTGGATTTCCCAGTCTTGCTGAGCCGCCATTGTCAGGACTGTCCGGATCGTGCTCATATTAGCAGTGGGGGCGAACGTGTCGAAATAGTCGACCCCAAACTTCTGTCTCTGGCCGTTTGCGACGAGGCGTGCCCAGAGCTTCAACTTTTCTCCGTCGGGTCCACGTTTGGTCGCCAAAACGTAATGGCAAGGTATGATGTTGGCGCCTTGAGGTGGGTCAACAACTTCCCACGTACCTAACTTCTCGAGCTGACTTATTTCGTAATCTAGCGCTTCTTGCCACTCCACTCCATCAGGACCGTTTAAAGCTTGTTGCAGGCTGGGTTCCAGCTCTGCAGCAGCCAAAGCAAGGTGAATGTGCGCGTGTTCATCCAGGAGGTCTAACGCTGACGCCTCCATTAGGGAATCTAAGGCTAGGGATGCGGTCTCCCCCTCATTGAGGGCTGCATAATATCCTGGAGGTGGTCTGGTGCGGGTGGACCTTGGAGCTGGAGGTGGGGTTGATGGACGTGGAGTTTGGATTCTGGCTGGGGTAGCAGGTGGCGGGATAGGCTGAACGACAGGTGAGCTATCACTGTTGCTACTGTTATATTCGTCGTGCCGCATGACGATGGACTCCCCCTCATTCAGGGGATCCCCGGCCACTGTCACCTCATTATGCGCTAAGGTGACATTGCGCTCGACGGAAATACGGCTCTTACCCAGCCAATATACCCGGTAGGCTTTGCTCTGGGCGTCCATTCCCACAAAAACTGCCTCCTCTGCCTTGGCCTCCAACTTCCCAGCGCCCTCAAGGTGCACGAAGATCCTGGCTTCGAATTCCCTAGCCTGGGAGAGGTTGGGCTTGGTCTTCGTGACCAGCTCAAATGGAGTCGCACCTGGAGTCACCCTAGACGGTAGGCGATTCTTTAGCCAGGTGGCGTAATTGACGGCCTCTGCCCATAGGTACTTGGGGAGGTCCTTCGCCAGCAACATGGCCCTGGCATGCTCGACGAGAGTGCGGTTTAGCCTCTCGGCTACTCCGTTTTGCTGTGGTGAGTCGTGAGTCGTCAGTTGTCGCTCAATGCCACGCTGACTCAAATACTCGTCGAACTCTGCACTTAGATACTCTCCCCCACGATCTGACCGGACCCTGTGGAGCTGGACGCCTGGAGTTTGGCGTGTGAGCCAGGCCTCATAGGCCTTGAAGGCGGTGAGTGCCTCGCTCTTTTGCTTCAAGAACTGGATCTTCGTCTGACGGGTGAAATCATCTGTGAAGGTGATATAGTATCGGCATCCGCCCAAGCTGGCAGTCTGTGCGGGGCCCCATAGGTCCGTATAAACTAGCTCTTCATAGGTGCGTGCCCGGCTATGACTTTCGTTCGGGAAGGGTTTCCTTGCTGACTTGGCTTTGACGCACGTGTCGCAGAACTCCAGCTTGGAGTCACTGTCCAGCGTGACACCCACGACGAGACCTTTTCTCACGGCCTCGAGCACTGCAGGCTGGGAGACGTGCCCCAGCACCCAGTGCAACTCACTCACAGTAAGTTTTCCCTTGGCAACATTCGCATGGTGCTGACCTGACCTTCCCGTTGCTATGCTATAGAGACCCTCCACCTGCGGTATTTCCGCAATGACTCGATGTTTCGGGCCCTGGGACAAGACTTTGCACATGCGCCCTTCAAAAAGGACGGCCATGCTGGCCGCTGCAATGCGATTTGTGGAGATCAGGGTGAATGCCATGGCCGGTGCGTACAACGCGTTCTTCAGCGTCACTTTCGTGCGCTTCTCACCAAGTGGCAGTTCTAGCTCGACGTCTCCTCGACCTATGGCGCTCAGACTTGAGCCATCCGCCGTGTGGATGTCCTGGGGGGATATGGGGGTGAAGTTGGAGAATTTTGCCTGGTCTGGGCAGAAGTGAGAGGTGGCGCCAGAGTCTACGATGGCACCTCGTCGGTCGAGGGGCACCCTGAGATCCCTGGCTATGCTTGCCAAGTCGGACGATACGAATGCATATTGGTCCTGGGACCCGGACTCTGCAGCTGAGTTTGCCGTCTCCTTGGGACCCTTCTCACCCTTACGCCTCTGCTGATTCGGGCCTTGGCCCTCTTTTCCCCCTCCAGGCCTCCAACAGTCGGTCTTATAATGACCTTTGCATTCGCAATTATAGCAGGTAACGTCTGCATTTGTTTTGCTCGACGTAGCTGACCTTTTGCCCTTGTCTCTAGGCTCCCTTGCGCTCCCCCTTTTATTGGGGCGCTTCTCAGTAAGCTGACGGTGTTCGTATTCTTCTGTAACGATACTGATCAGTTCATAGGAGGACAAGGGGGTCTTAGTGATCTTGGCGGCTGCGTTTATGGATGACAGAAGAGGGCGATAGGATTCGGGGAGTGAGCCGAGAATGATGGCATGGAAGTCCGTATCGAGGATCCCCGCACCCATACCTGCAAGTAGCTCGCGCAGCCTCAACATCTCTGAGAAGTGGGCTTTTATGTCTCCTCCCTCCTCCCTCCTCGCACCTCGTCTCCTGCAGGCGCCGACGCAAATTGATCTGGATGAGCTCGGTCTTGCCTTTGTGGATCTGGCAGATTTCTTCCCAGACCTCCGAGGCAGTCTCGAACTTCTGGACGCGCAGCAACAGTCGATCGGTAATTGTACTGAAGATTTGCTGTTTAACGAGTGAGTTCTTTTGGTCGTATTCATCCATTTTCTTATCGCGCTCATCGATCTCCTTCTGAGTAGGAATCGAACCGTCTGGCTTTTCCGGCAGCCCCGATACCTTTCCAATGAGGTAGGGTAACGGCTCGATGGCACGACCATCTGCATATCGCATCAAACCTTGGGCACTTATCGCTGTCAACGTTCTCTCCTTGTAGGTAATCCAATTCGTGCCATCTTCGGCAAGTTTTGGGACATTGAACAACGAGGACGTAGTGCCGGGGAGCGTATTATCGGTGGTCATGTCAGGGCTCATAACCTCTTGAGAGGAGTTTATGGGAGCGGATAGAATCTAACAGGTAACAAGTCTCAGTATCTGGGAACAGAACTCTGCATTGATGAAACGTGTACCTAACAGGTAACAACTACGTAGTGTTAGCATTTTGGACAAAAGGTAAGGTATAGTAAACTCACGTCTCAGTATCTGGGAACAGAACTGAGGCGCTCATTTGGCTCTGCTATAGGTTTTATATGGTAAGTGTTCCTAAACGTTATATTGAAGTAAAACATTGATACTTGGTAGTTTTCGGCCCCGACGTCACTTCTGTCATTGTCGTGCCTCTCTCTCCTTGCGCTCGGACATTCTATTCGTCATCCTGCCCCTTTGCTTCGGTCTCATCGGCCTTGTTCGACTCTGAGGCTTCAGACGTCGACGACAAGCACTGCACGGGGCATTGTGAAAATGCTGCGCCATTGCTGCAACTGCTGTGCGGCAACTGCCGACCACTGCTGCCTAAATGGTGAGTGCGCATTAACTACACTTTCTTACTGCTAATCACTGGAACCTCCCAGTACTTGTCCTCCGAACGAGGTATAGACTCAAGGGTGCTCCGATTCCTTATAAGTATATCCGCACTCCCAGCACCACGGTCAGCCGATATCATCGAGATTCGCAGTACTCCCGGTCTGCAAGTCAGGTCCTTCTAACAACTATCTCGTTACTAAACGATCTTTCATATTGCATTGTAGTCTGATTCCTCCGCATACAATGTTATTTTTGTTTCTTTTTAATGAGCAACTGCGTAGTTGCGGGCATTTGTCTCAAGCCTGATGCGGTCATTGGCACCTTTCTTCGCATTCTCGGTCCTCCATGGGATTTTTTTACCTGTCGCTCCTGAGCGCTGAGGTCCAGTCAGTCCAGTGACATGTGTACAGCCCCACAGCTCAGGCATGTGCATGAGGATTAGCAGCTGAGCATGCTAACTTTTCGTTAGGTGTAGTATACGAGTAGGGTGGGATTGTCATCATGTTCGTAACATATGCCACCATGACATTAGCATAGGATGTATATGACTTTTCTGAGCATTCCTGATGAACGAGTTTTCTTCAGCGTGCAGTTGACTGATGAGTGTGAATTTTCATGTGGCAGGACGTGTGATGGTTTAGCAAGTTGGCTCATCAGAAACAATGATTCCGAGTCCAAGACACTTACTAGTATGCCATGTTCGAAAACCATCTTGCCAGTTCTCACTGGCAGCATCATCACTCCGTCCCTCATCGCCTCCTCGATTCCTGTTGACACAAGTTGCTCAAGCCACCGATAGCAGAAAGTCAGCTTGAGTTGGAATTGAATGTGAGGTACTGACAAGTGTCGCAGCACCTTGTCATGGGCGTCGCGGTCATCGTGGGCACCTTCTTTCCATATTTGGGAGGTGCTGCGATATGGTGCCCGTGACGCCCGCGACATGGTGCTGCGACACTACTGAAAATGAACTCAAGTTGTGTAATACATGGTCCTTCAGCAGTTATGTTGCGCATCATAGTATTGCAGACTTGCGCATTGGAATACATATGTCAGTGGTGGATTTGCGTATCATTTCAGAAACCAGAATACACAAGTCTGAAATATGAGAAGTTGGAAGTTGGAACACACTATAGATTAATTTTCAGTAACACAGTTCAAGACATGTGCCAGGACATTAAGATTTCGAAGGGATAATGAAGAAGTTGATAAAGCGGCAAGAGAGTCAGCAATAACCAAGTGACTTTATATTAATCATGCAAAATCCTTCAAGGCAGCGATGCAGAGTTCAGGATATGTGGCAAGCAACAAGTGTCGTGAGTCAATTTACTGCTTAGCGTAAATTTGGAACGTCGCGGCAGATGCCGCGCAGCAGTCGCAGCAGTGGCGCAGCATTTTCCTAGTGCCCCACTGCACGGTGTCACGTGCGGATGCCATGTTCATGCTGTGGTAAACGTTCACGAACGACTTTACAGGTACTGCAGTGTTTCGAAACTTCCAGCACACATCTTACTCTCAAGGGTTAGTTCGAATCATCCCTCAGCCATAATGGTCCGTCGTCGACGTGTCACCTTCGAGTCTTCAAGCTCATCAGAACCAGACTCAGACTTTTCTTCAGCGTCTTCGCATGAATCTTTCCCAACTCCTCCAGTAGAGAATTCCGCTACCAGTACCGAGCCCTTGAAAGGTAGAAAACGTAAGCGTAAGTTGTCAGGCAGCCTTAACGACAACAAGACGAAGAGTTCGAAACGTCTACGATCGTACGTCAGTGTGCTAGATAGTACGTGCATGGTCTTAATTCCATTTTCAGGCAAGAACAGGACGAGTAAGTATATGAAGCATCGATCTTCCACATGCCTGACAACGTGCTTGTTGTTTAGTGAGGAGCCAAGCTATCGAGAATCCACCCAGGACCCGCAACTCAGTGGAGTGCAACAAGTCGCTATCACTGGTTTGTAATATCTGTCTCCGCTCGGCTCATATTGACGATTTCTCTCAAGCCATTCGCGCAACTGATCTCACTCTTGGTCTCCGACAGATTCCCGCTGGCTTCCATGTCGTGGTCAAGGCTGACGGCGCTGAATGCCAGACAAGCAATGAATCTGTAATCGTAGACCAGGCTGTTGTGGAGTGGCACGAGCGCATCTTTCTGTAAGTCTTCCTTAACCCCGCCTGTCCTGCAGAATTGAGAAAGACTCCAGGCCGTGCGATCCATCTTCTAAAGTTTGGGTCAGCGTGTATGCCTCATTTGAATTGGGTCACATGGTCTGTCATGGAGAACTCCTCCGCTCATTTGAGATCTCCGTCGAGGAATTACTGGACCGCAGCGAAAAATCGCATCGTCAGTAGCGTGTATTGCAAAAAAGAATGCCTGACGTGCTAACAAACATCTCAGCCATTATCTTTCAGCCAAAGCAGGAGGAAGTCGCATCATCTTGCACTTCGCTGTTCATGAGAGTGGAGCAGCGACTTTCTGATCAAATCGACGCCGCAGTTCTCCGTCCCCTTACTCCAGTGAGTGATCAATACAGTGTGGCATTCTGATGCTGACAGCTGCAACGTGCAGGTTACATGCTGCGGTATGGATGCGTTAGCACTGGAGACGGATGCTGGACATCGTCTTCTCACACAATACTGCAGGACCCAGAGTGGCGGTAATCTCGAACAATCCATAGAGCACTTTGAACGAGCCTTGGATCTGTGCCCCATAGATCATCCCTACCACCCCGCAGCGCTGTTCAATCTGGCCACGGCAAAGTGTGTTAGTTGCCAAGCTGACGAGAGATACCTCGACCTCGACATCCCCATCTCTCTTTTTCAACGGGCCCTCGACTTGCGTGCAACTGATCATCCGGACCGAAGCGTCACCCAGCTCCATCTTGCCATTGCATTGCTCTCGCGGTTCGCGAAACGGGGATTTGAATCGGATGCGGATGCAGCTGAAGAGTTGCTGAGCGAAGTTCTCGAAGCCTGCCAGGCCAACAGCCACATTTATAGAGCAGCTTTGATCGCAATGGAAATACGGGCTCTGCATTCTGCTGGAAGGTTTAAGGGAAATGATCTTGAACAGGAGCAGCCCACCACATCGATGTTTCCGTTATCGCCAAATCAACTGGCTGATCAAGCAAAGCGGTGTTTGCAGAGAGATGAACCCGGTGCCTTAGATGAAGTGATATCCCTTCATTATGATGCACTGAGATACTACAACACCGGGCATGCCTGCCGAGGGCAATTGTTAGATGATCTGGCTGGAATGCTGGAAACTCGTTTCGAGCGTCGAGGCAATGACAAAGACTGGGATGAGGCTATCACGCTTCAGACGGAAGCGCTGGCTTTGTTCCCAGTTGGTCACACAGATCAGTGCATGTCATTAAACAAGCTTGCAAGTGGACTCTTCTCCCGCTATCAGGACCGAGGTAAGGACGAAGACTTGGATCAGGCTATCGCACTTCAGAGGGAAGCGCTGGCTTTGCGCCCGGTCGGTCACACAGGTCGGTCCAAGTCATTAAGCGACCTCGCGCTTAAACTATCCTGCCGCTCTGACCACCGAAGCAATGACGAAGACTTGGATGAGGCTATCATATTCCACAGGGAAGCGCTGGCTTTACGCCCGGTCGGTCACACAGATCGGTCTGCTTCGTTGAGCGACCTCGCACTTGAACTCTCCTGCCGCTTTGATGACCGAGGGAACGACAAAGACTTGAATGAGGCTATCGCACTTCAGAGGGAAGCGCTGGCTTTGCGCCCGGTCGGTCATACAGGTCGGTTTGTATCATTGAACAACCTCGCAAATCGGCTCTCCTCCCGTTTTGAGCACGGAGGCAAGGACGAAGACTTGGATGAGGCTATCGTATTTCACAGGGAAGCGCTGGCTTTACATCCGGTCGGTCACACAGATCGGTCTGCGTCATTAAGCGATCTCGCGGTTGAACTCTCCTCCCGCTTTGACCACCGAGGCAATGACAAAGACTTGGATGAGGCTATTACGCTCCAGACGGAAGCGCTGGCTTTTTGTCCGGTCGGTCATACAGATCGGACCATGTCATTATACAACCTTGCAAATCAACTCTCGTCTCGCTTTGAGCACCGAGGCCATGGCGAAGACTTGGATCAGGCTATCGCACTTCTCAGGGAAGTGCTGGCTTTGCATCTGGTTGGTCAGACAGGTCGGTTCAAGCCATTAGACGACCTCGCCAATCAACTCTCCTCCCGCTTTGACCACCGAGGCAACGAGGAAGACTTGGATGAAGCTATTACGCTTCAGACGGAAGCGCTGGCTTTGTGCCCCGTCGGTCACACAGGTCGCTCCGTGTCATTAAACAACCTTGCGAGTGGACTTTTCACCCGCTTTGAGCACCGAAGCAAGGATGAAGACTTGGATCAGGCTATCGCACTTAACAGGGAAGCGCTGGCTTTACATTCGGTCGGTCACACAGATCGGTCCATGTCATTAAACAACCTCGCGTTTGAACTCTCCTCGCGCTTTGACCACCGAGGCAATGATGAAGACTTGGATGAGGCTATCGCACTTCACAGAGAAGCGCTGGCTTTGCGCCCGGTCGGTCACACAGGTCGGTCCTCGTCATTAAACAGCCTCGCGAATCGACTCTCCTCCCGTTTTGAGCACCGAGGCCACAACGAAGACTTGGATCAAGCTATCACACTTTACAGGGAATCACTGGCTTTGTGCCCGGTCGGTCACACAGATCGGTCCATGTCATTAAACAACCTCGCGAGTGGACTCTTCACCCGCTTCGAGCGCCGAGGCAAGGATGAAGACCTGGATCAGGCTATCGTGCTTAACAGGGAAACACTGGCTTTGATCCCGGCCGGTCACACAGATCGGTCTAAATTATTCAACAACCTCGCAATCCAACTCTCCTCCCGCTATTACCACCGAGGCAACGACGAAGACTTGGATCAGGCTATCGGACTTCTCAGGGAAGCGCTGGCTTTGCGCCCGGTTGGTCACACAGGTCGATCCAAGTCATTAAACAACCTCGCCAATGAACTCTCCACCCGCTTTGAGCACCAACGCAATAGAGAAGACCTCGACGAGTCACGAGAGAACCTTTGCTGTGCATTGACTCTCTTGACGCAACATGATCCTCTCCAATTAGCAGTTCATCAGTCGCTAGCTACGGTCTATCTATCATTCCATCGTTTAGGGCTTGACGACACCGGTGCGGGCGAAAATACAGACAGTCTCAATGCTGCCATGCATCATCTCAAGGCAGCAGCAAATGTTGTCTCTGGAGGCTTGCTATCCCGCCTGCGGGCAAGTCTGCATTGGGCGCACCATGCTAGTGAATATTTGCATGGTACTCAACTGGAGGCATATGCTATCTCTATGCAACTCCTGGACGCTTACATGTCTGTGACGGCCTCTGTGTCGTCTCGTCATAATGCCATGAAGGAATTCTCAAGGACACTTGCTGTCGATGCTGCATCATGTGCCCTTCGCAGTGGCGATGTGCGTCGCGCTGTTGAGCTGTTGGAGCAAGGTAGGACTATCATCTGGACCCAGATGGCACGCCTCCGCACGCCTCTTGATAGCCTCCAGACTTGCGGCGATCATGCAGTGACTCTGATGAAGAGATTCAGAGACCTCAGCTTCCGCCTTGATAAACCTTACGCAAGTCATTCAGAAGGCACGCCAAGTGTTGACGTAGAAGCTGAAGAAACCCGGTACAGACGTCTAGTGCAGGACTGGAATGGAACTGTAGAAGAGATGCGGAAGATCGAAGGCTTCTCTCGCTTCTTACTTCCCCCCTTGTTCTCTGATCTTCAACATGCGGGTCATGATGGGCCCATCATCGTGCTCCTCGCGAGCGAATCGTCTTGCGATGCCATCATTGTCACTCACGAGCAACCTCCCACTAGCATTCAACTCCCTACCAACTTTCAGAAACTCGCCGAATTGGAGATCGCATTCCGAGAGGCAGTTCCCAAGGATGCTGGTCCTAAAGGGAACCAACGAGCGCTGATGGAAGCTTTGAGGAAGCTGTGGGAATTCGTCGTCCGCCCGGTGGTCGAAAATCTGGGTGCAATTGCGCGACGAGGTTCTCGAATATGGTGGTGCCCCACATCTGTCTTTAATTTCTTGCCGTTGCACGCTGCCGGTGAATACAGGAAGGATGGAGAGTCCCTTTCACGGCACTACATCTCCTCATATACCCCATCGCTCACCGCGCTGATCAAGGCTCGTGCAAATCATGACAAGTCCCCGTCGGTGCCCTTTGTTGCTATTGGTCAGAATCGCCCAGCCGGTGTCTTGTTCACTTTGGATGCTGTAGAGCCTGAGCTGGAATTGGTGCGGACACTCTTACCCCCTCCCCCAACCGTTTCCTTCTCCAAGATAACCAGTGTTGATGCCACGAAATCGAGAGCGCTGAGCGCATTGCAAGACAATACGTGGTTCCATCTCGCGTGTCACGGGACGCAGAAATTTGACGAACCCTTCCAGTCGGCCTTTCTCATGCAGGACCAGCCGCTTTCGCTCCTCGATATTGCTCATATGGATCTGTCTCGCCATCAATTTGCATTTCTTTCTGCCTGTGAAACCGCAGTTGGTGTCCCTGCGACGCCAGACGAAGTGATACATCTAGCTGCTGGCTTGCAATTCGCCGGGGTCAAGAGCGTCGTTGGGACGTTATGGAAAGTCGATGATCCCACTGTGCAGCGTTTGGTCAAGGCGTTTTATGAAAACTTGTGCGGGGATGGCACTATGAATTCCAAACGAGCTGCGCGAGCGCTGCACCGAGCCGTGCAGTTGTTGGCTAGTGATAGGGACATTCCGTTGGCCCAGCGCATAGTGTTCGTGCATATTGGCATATAATCAGTTCCGTGCGTCCTCCCATTTTTGCATTCTTCAGACAATCTGACGACTTCGTATTGTTTCTAGTCATGACCACGCGCAGCTTATTGCCAAGGACTTCAATATTCCAGACTTCGACACTATACCTCCACGATATGTACACCCAACTTAGACTTCAATCTGTATTCTCTGATCTGTTGCCTCACACGGAGCCAGACATGATCGATCGCAAGACGGTTTGTGGTTAGGAAACGACACTGATCTGACATAACACCCTATGTGGGAAGACACGATCTGCGATGAACATGATAGTCGACTGTCTGAATTGCGTGAGGGCGTTTAATGCACTTCCACTTAGCATGCAGCGCCGAAATCCGGTTCCTGCGAAGAGCTTGACCTGGCGGGATAGACAGACCATAGTAGTCAGATGAGCATATACGATGCGTTGAGCTTGCTGGACTACCAATGTCAGTTTCCTCGTTTGATTTTGCGTTGAACAATTGTTGAAATTGCTTCGTTCAGCTGCGGCCGTCAGTTCTCTTCCATGCACAGGTCTGCTACCTATTTACAATCTCAATTCTACGATATCCACAAAAGGCCCTTGCATGACAACATAAGCAAGCGAGCTAGTCTTGGAGTTTCCTGACAAAAAAGGGGTCAAGGTGTGACTGATTAATACCTCAGGATTGGAATATGTCTGTGCGGAGGGTGTACAAGAGCAGGAGGAGAAATGGGGAGAGCAAGAGACATCCTGCTCCGAAGTCGAGCGCAGATCGATCGACCTAAAGACCCATTGTTTGCCGGTGAGTGTCGTCGAGCTGCTCCTCTACCCTAAATCTCACATCCATGAAATTGTGTCTCGAGCAGATGTCCAGTCTCTGATGCTGGCATATAGCTTACCTGCCTTTTCGAAAGGCGACCCGACCTCGTTCCTTGCTGGAATCATACGTGCGAGCGGGATTATAAAAAGGTGGGTTTTCTGAGGATATAGTGGGTCAAACGCACGCTGTTATCTGTGGTATGCAGCGTGATGTCCTGGATCATGCGGGTGCGGTGTGCATTGTCCTCAGGGATTGGAGCATTGGCCAGAGACTTTCGGTGGCTTGAGGTCTCGCAACATAGCGGGATTGGAGGCAAGGATGTCGGATGCAGTACTTCACCGAGCAGTGTTTCAAATGCAGTATCACACTCTGCCTTGTTTTTGTCGAGCGCTGACGAGCCTTCTCAGCTGCATGGTCATGGACACATCAAACCAAAATTAATGCGTGCGATGGTTGGCATGTCATTTTTCTTGAAGTCGAGGAGGACGCCTATCTGTGTGGTAACCCTGCTGGAGTGGATATGAGTATGTCTCATAAGCGCTCGCAGTCTTTGACACATATCCCAAGATATACTCTTTAACTACCGAAACTGGTATGACAGTAGCCATATGCAACTTCATAGTAGCCAGCAGCAAGGTTGACCAGACGTTGTAGTCCGTTTTATCGTTTCGCGATGGCACCCGATCACGGTCATCATCAATGCGCTTACAGTCTTGTTCAACTAGTGTAACCTGACAATCTGGCGTGTCTGGTTCCGCATTCTCTCTCAACGTCACGTCTCACCCAGTGAGCAGTGCGACTTCCTCAACCACGAAATCTCCCTATACATTGGTGCCATTAAATGCCCTGGCCACCCTTGTTGCGCACGCGTCATCCTCACGCGAGGCAGACGCACTTTCATCAAGTGGTGCGCGTAGATTCACCAGCCTTGCTCTTCCTCATGTGCCTACTTCTACGGCCACCTCTGGATCGAACTCTGGTGTTGATTCTTGGCATCCCCGGAAAGTAGGTAGAAGGGCAACAGTCGCAGAAAGTCTGAGCGCGGTACTCAGGTTCAGAGATTCACATAAACTGGACTTGTGAAGACGACGATGACCATCGTGGACATCGTTCGTGGAATCACGTTTGGTGATGTCGAATGGCAGGAATCGAAGTCTCGTGGTCGGTCGTTTGGCTTGGCCAAGTTGGTTCTCAAAGGATGATACCAAGCAACGGAAGAGAAAATATCGACAGGTCGCCGCAGAGCGTCCACTCAGTTTCACGGTCTATCGAAAGCTCCGGTTTATGTTGGCGGAAGTTCAGTACTAGTGCAATCGGGCTTAACTTGAACACTGGCGATGCTTAACGTTATGAGGAAATGCTTACCAATATTATATGCATGAAAGTGTTTGAGATTTTTTCAGATACTTTGCAAACACCTCGTCTTCCATTTGCTTCGTTTGGAAGATGTCAGCCGTTATCGGTGTGCTCAGACCAGTCCCACGAGGATAGAGCCAAAGGGTCTGTGATTGTCAAATAGCAATCATAGACGAGCGAGGACCCATAGAATTGCTTGCCTGACACTTTTTCTTGTGAAGCTTGCTCATAGTAGTAGTATATTTAGTTTCGCAAGTCTGCCGGTCTATGAATACAAATCAACTTACCGTACTCCCCAAGTCTACGCTGAAAGATAGCTCGACACCGAATCCTGGACCACCTGCACGACGCAAAGTGGACCTCTGATTGTAACTGTTTGAGTCGATGAATTACCTTGCAAATACGACACTTCTTTTCGCGGGTAAACATGATGATGGGTGAAAGAATCGCGAATGACACACGATAAGCTACGGGCACAAAAAGAACCTGGCGATAACCTTGATCGAACCTGAAATTTTATTCATGAGCTTACTTCAAATCCTGACTAGTACGGCGCCACTGACCTTTAAGCCTTATGTATGGCTCCTATTGTGCGACTTCCATGTTCATATTGCCGGTTCTTCGAGTAGCAGCTTAGGTCAAGAGACTGAACTAGAGACAACGCCGTGATGTTTCGGACCAACCCAATCGGCCATGGTTACCTATCATATAGTTAGTTTCCCAATGACCGTGACCATCAGTCTCCCAATGATGAGGTCAGGTTTCATTACTTTCATTGGGTGGGTGCACGTCCTAACAAACATCGTATTCCGAACTGTGCATGTATGATATATGATGAGGTACGAAAATGAAGCAGTGTTAGAATTGAAAAAGAGGCAGTCCATGATGAACGTCTGTCTTATCCCATTCAAGGAGAGACAAGATTCTAAAGGCCTCGAGTCGTAGTTAAGGAAGCCGGGCTAGCTTGAAATTATGAGCAAAACTTTTGAGCCTCAGGCCCACTTTGAGATAGCCCTATGACAGCAACACAGGCAGTGAACATCGAGGCAAAGGAGATTATTTGGTAGAGTCGCTATTGGATCCAGAATCGGATGCAAGGAGTTGTTAGCGAGATCACAAAGACATGATGATCCGCCGAGTCCACGAAGGTTCTTTTACTATTTTAGTGAGCAAATACCAACTTATGTAAGAGAAAAACAAACTGGCTCCGCAAAGGTATCCGGTGGGCAACGCCGACCGTGGAAGTCATTTGGCTTGATATGTCAACTTTACGACCCGGGAAGCCCTGGAAAGGACTAGTCGCGACTCGCCGGGTCTCGAACAACTTGAAGTCCAATGATTAATTCTTCGATCATTTGGCTAATGAAACCATGATGCCTGCAGTGGCCGACTCGGACGACTTTCTATTTGGCACCTGTACCTAATATGCGAATGCTTGTGGAATGCCCTGCTCTTGCGGGTTTCTCGTTTGGGCTGCTTTAACACCCTCTGCTGTACAAATATGTAAAATGAGGGTATGAGTGGATTCTGCGAGTCGCTTCTATCTTGTTGACGGCATCGGCACTGCACGGGCCCCCCGCCACAGCGTGGATGCCATGTGCATGCTTGTGGTTCCCTCTATTATAATCCTTCAGGACGTTACAGGTGCTGTAGTATTTGTTTCGTGACCCCCTTACTCTCAAGTGTCAGTTTGAATCCATCCCTCGTCATATGTCAATGTTTGTCCCTGGCCATTTCAATGACTGCCATCCACCCTTGGGAGAAAGTCCGATCGACCCAGAACGCCCTCAGGACATAAGACAGATAAACCTTCAAACGTTCCAAGTTGCCGTCGATAGTATGTCTCACATTGATCTTCATTCAGCACATATCGATGACTTCCCAAAGCAATTCTGGCGACGCTGTATTTCCTCATTAATCTCCTGTTTGTTTTCGCGACAGACTCCGTGCCAGATCGGCTGGATGATACCCTCCAAGTCTTAGGTGAGGAGCCAGGCCAACCAGAACAACCCCAGGATCCGGGAAAGACAAACCTAGTGTTCGGTGAAACGCCACAAGTCGCCATCAACAGTATGTGCCATCTACCTTCACTTAACACGTGGTGCCCATGATTTCTCATCACAGATTCTGTGTCGGACACACTCGATGATACACTCCCAGCCTTGCATGAGGAGTCCAACCATTCAGAACACATTCAGGATTCAGGAGAGATGCACCTCCGTGGAGTGCAACAAGTCGTCATCACTGGTATGTGATATCTCAGGCTATCTCCGCTCAGCTCATATGGATGATTTCCCCAAGCCATCTGCGCAACTGATCTCACTCTTGGTCTCCGACGGATACCCGCTGGCTTCCATGCGGTGGTCAAGGCTGACGGCGATGAATATCAGACAAGCAACAAATCTGTAAACGTAGACCAGGCTGCCATCGAATGGCACGAGCGCATTCTGCTGTAAGTCATCCCTAACCTCGTCTGTCCTGCAGGTATTGACAAAGAATATAGGCCGTGCGATCCATCTTCTAAGGTTTGGGTCAGCGTATATGCATCATTCGAATTGGGACCCATGGTCTGTCACGGAGAACTCCTCCGCACACTCGAGATCTCCATCGGAGAATTACTAGACCGCAGCGAAAAATCGCATCGTCAGTATCTTCTATCGCAAATAATGCCTGAAAGATGCTAACGAGCATCGCAGCCATTATCTTCCAGCCAAAGCAGGGGGAAGTCGTGTCCGCTTGTACTTCATTGCTCATGAGAGTGGAGAAGCAAGTTTGTGATCAAAACGACGCTGCAGTTCTTCGTCCCCTTATTCCAGTGAGTGATAAATACAGTATGGCATTCTGATGCTGACAGCTGCAACGTGCAGGTTACATGCCGCAATATGGAGACGTTAGCACTGGAGACGGATGCCGGACATCGTCTTCTCGCACAATACCGCAGGACGCAGAACAGCAGGGATCTCGAACAATCCATAAATCACTTTGCACGAGCCTGGGATATCTGCTCCATGGATCATCCCTACCACCCTGCAGCACTGTTCAATCTGGCCACGGCAGAGTTTGTTAGTTGTCAAGCTGACGAGAGATACCTCGACCTCGACATCCCTATCATTCTTTTTCAAGGGGCCCTCGACTTGCGTGCCGCTGATCATCCGGACCGAAGCGTCAGCCAGCTCCATCTTGCCATAGCTTTGCTCTGGCGGTTCGCGAAACGGGGATTTGAATCGGATGCCGATGCAGCTAAGGGATTGCTGAGCGAAGTTCTCAAAGTCTGCCACGCCAACAGCCACATTTACAGAGCGGCTTTGATCGCAATGGAAATGCGAGCTCTGCATTCTGCTGGAAGGATCGATGCAAATGATATTGGGCAGGAGCGGCCCGCCACATCAATGCTTCCGTTATCGCCGAATGAACTTGGTCATCGAGCAGTGTGGTGCGGCCAGACAGATGAACCCGGTGCCTTAGATGAAGTGATATCCCTTCATTATGATGCACTAAGACACTACAACATCGAGAATGCTAGCCGAGGGCAATTGCTATGCAATCTGTCTGTGATGCTGCTGACTCGCTTCCAGCGTCGAGGCAATGACAAAGACTTAGATCAGGCCATCGCATATCAGATGGAGGCGCTGGCTTTGCGCCCGGTCGGTGACTCAGATCGGTCCACGTCATTAAACAACCTCGCTGTTCAGCTCTTCTCACGCTTTGAGCACCGAGGCAACAATGAAGACTTGGATGAGGCTATCGCACTTCACAGAGAAGCGCTGGCTTTGCGCCCGGTCTGTCACACAGATCAGTCCCGGTTATTAAACATCCTCGCGAATCGACTCTCCTCCCGCTTTCAGCACCGAGGCAACAACGAAGACTCGGATGAGGCTATCGCACTTCACAGAGAAGCGCTGGCTTTGCGCCCGGTCGGTCACACAGATCGGTCTGCGTCATTAAACAACCTCGCTGTCAAACTCTTCTCACGCTTTCAGCACCGAGGCAACGATGAAGACTTGGACGAGGCTATCGCACTTGACAGAGAAGCGTTGGCTTTGTGCCCGGTCGGTCACACAGATCGGTCTACGTCATTAAACAACCTCGCTGTTCAACTCTCCTCCCGCTTTCAGCACCGAGGCAACGACGAAGACTTGGATGAGGCTATGGCACTCTTCAGAGAAGCGCTGGCTTTGCACCCGGTCGGTCACACAGATCGGTCCATGTCATTAAACAACTTCGCTGTTCAACTCTCCTTCCGCTTTAAACATCGAGGCAACGACGAAGACTTGGATGAGGCTATCGCACTTCACCGAGAGGCGCTGGCTTTGCACCCGGTCGGTCACACAGATCGGTCTGCGTCATTAAACAACCTCGCAAATCAACTCTCCTCCCGCTTTCAGCACTGAGGCAACGACGAAGACTTGGATGAGGCTATGGCACTCTTCAGAGAAGCGCTGGCATTGCGCCCGGTCGGTCACACAGATCGGTCTACGTCATTAAACAACCTCGCTGTTCAACTCTCCTCCCGCTTTCAGCACCGAGGCAACGACGAAGACTTGGATCAGGCTATCGCACTTCAGAGAGAAGCGCTGGCTTTGTGCCCGGTCGGTCACACAGATCGGTCTACGTCATTAAACAACCTCGCGAATCAACTCTCCTCCCGTTTTAAACACCGAGCCAACGACGAAGACTTGGATGAGGCTATGGCACTCCTCAGAGAAGCGCTGGCTTTGCGCCCGGTCGGTGACTCAGATCGGTCTTCGTTATTAATCAACCTCGCTGTTCAACTCTCCTCCCATTTTAAACACCGAGCCAACGACGAAGACTTGGATGAGGCTATCGAACTTCACCGAAAAGCGCTGGCTTTGTGCCCGGTCGGTCACACAGATCGGTCTAGGTCATTAAACAACCTCGCTCGTCTACTCGCCTCCCGCTTTGAGCACCGAGGCAACGACGAAGACTTGGATGAGGCTATCGCATTTCACAGAGAAGCGCTGGCTTTGCACCCGGTCGGTCACACAGATCGGTCCCAGTCATTAATCGACCTCGCTCTTCTACTCGCCTGCCGCTTTGAACTCCAACGCAATAGAGAAGACCTAGATACGTCCCGAGAGAACCTACTCTGTGCATTCCCTCTGTTGAGGCAGCATGATCCTCGTCAATTAGTGGTCCATCAGTCGCTAGCTAAGGTTTATCTATCATTTCATCGTGCAGGGCTTAACGCCACCGGCGCGGGCGAAAAACCAGACAGTCTGAATGATGCCATGCATCATCTCGAGGCAGCAACAAGTTTTGTCTCTGCAGGCTTACGGTCCCGCCTGCGTGCAAGTCTAAGTTGGGTGCATCATGCTAGTGAACATTCGCACAGCACTCAACTGAAGGCTTATGCGACTTCTATGCAACTCCTGGATGCTTACATGTCTGTGACGGCCTCTGTGTCGTCTCGTCATAAAGCCATGAAGGAATTCCCAAGTACACTTGCCGTGGATGCTGCATCTTGTGCCCTTCGCAGTGGCGATGTGCGTCGCGCTGTTGAGCTGTTGGAGCAAGGCAGGACTATCATCTGGACCCAGATGGCGCGACTCCGCACGCCTCTTGATAGCCTCGAGAGTTGCGGCGATCATGCAGTGACCTTGATGAAGAAATTCAGAGACCTCAGCTCCCTCCTTGATAGGCTTCCTGCGAGTCATTCAGAAGGCACCTCAAGAGTTGTTGCAGAAGCAGAAGAAACTCGATACAGACGTCTGGTGGAGGACTGGAATAGAACAGTAGAGGACATCTGGAAGATTGAAGGCTTCTCTCGCTTCCTACTTCCCCCCTTGTTCTCCGATCTTCAAGTTGCAGGTCGTGATGGGCCCATCATCGTGCTCATCGCAAGCAGATCGTCTTGCGATGCCATCATTATCTCGCAAGAACAAGATCCTACTAGCATTCAACTCCCTATCAATTTTCAGCAACTCGCCGAATTGCTGATCGCATTCATAGAGGCGGTTCCCAAAGATGCCGGTCCTGGAGAGACCCCACAAGCGCTAAAGGGAGCTTTGAAAGAGCTGTGGAACGTTATTGTCCACCCAGTGGTCGAAAATCTGCGCAGAATTGCACGACCAGGTTCTCGAATATGGTGGTGTCCGACCTCTCTCTTCAATTTCTTGCCGTTGCACGCTGCTAACGGATACAAGAGAGATGGAGAATCCCTTTCACGCTGTTACGTCTCTTCATACACCCCATCGCTCACCGCGCTGATCAAGGCTCGCGCAAGTCATGACAGGTCCCCGTCGGTGCCTTTTGTTGCTATTGGTCAGAATCACCCAGCCGGTACCTCATTCACTTTAGATGCTGTAGAGCCTGAGCTGGAATTGGTGGAGAAACTTCTGCCCCCTCCCCCAACCGTTTCCTTCTCCAAGATAACCAGCGTTGATGCCACAAAATCGACAGCACTGCGCGCATTGCAAGATAATACGTGGTTCCATCTCGCGTGTCACGGGACGCAGAGATTTGACGGACCCTTCCAGTCGGCCTTTCTTATGCGTGACCAGCCGCTTTCGCTCCTGGATATCGCTCAGATGGATCTGTCTCGGCATCAATTTGCATTCCTTTCTGCCTGTGAAACCGCAGTCGGTGACCTCAGCACGCCCGACGAAGTGATACACCTAGCGGCTGGCTTGCAATTTGCCGGGGTCAAGAGCGTCGTTGGGACATTATGGAAGGTCGATGATGCCACTGTGGAGCGTGTAGTCAAGGCGTTTTACACAAACTTGTGCGGGGATGGCACGATGAATTCCAAACGAGCTGCGCGAGCGCTGCACAAAGCGGTGCAGTCGTTGGCCAGTGACAAGGACAAGGACATTCCCTTGGCCCAGCGAATAGTGTTCGTGCACATTGGCATATGATCAATTCCGTGCGTCCTGCCCTCTTGTTAATGAAACCGTTCTAACGACTTCGCATCTAGTCCATGACCACGCGAAATTTGTTACCAAGGACTTATATTATTCCAGACTTCGAGATTGTATACTTCCACGATATGGACACCCAATTTAGACTTGAATCTGTATTAATTTCCAATTTGTTGCCTCGGAGCCAGAGGTGCCGGTGATCGCTCCTCTAAGGTCCACTGATGTCGATGATTTGTGGGTCAGAATGAAGCTGATCTGGCGTAACATCTCATGTGGCAAGACACGATTTGCGATGAACGTGATAATTGCGTGAGGACGTTGGGTGCACTTCCACTTAGCATGTCGCACTGAAATCCAGTTCCTGTGAAGAGCTTGACCCTGGTAGGCTAAGAAGTCGTTCGTTCTGCTTTAAACTAAAAGCATTATAACGCTGCGTGCAACGCAGGATCGAAAAGTTGAGTCAAGGCGTAGATTATACAACGAATATATAGTGTATATATGCGCAAGAGCCTGATGATATCATATCCTGACTACGGTGCCACTGACCTTTAAGTAGGTTGCAGTATGATTCCAGTTGTGCGACTTCTATGTTCGTGTCCTCGGTTCTTCAAGTACTAGAAACTTAGGTTGAGAGACTGAACTAGAGACAACGCCATGGTTCGCATGGCCACATTAATTTCATCGGGTGCGTGCAGTGCCGTCCGGCTCAGACCGTAAGCAAACATTGTATTCCGAATCGTGCATGTATCATGACGTTGAAAGCTTTAGAAGCAGTGTTCAAACTGAAAAAGGGGCAGTTCATAATGCATCATGGTCACCTGTCTCATCCCGGAGAACATTTTAAAGGCCTCGAGTTGCAGTGAAGGAAGCCGGACTTGGTGAGCTAGATTATGGCCCCCGTGACGGCAACACGCGGGGCGAACATCGAGGCAGAGGAGATTATTTGGCAGAGTCGCTATTGGATCAGATGCAGGGAGTCTTCATGAATGACCCGTGACATGTTCGCCACGCTAGCATGATTTGAATCGAGTGAATTACCATACCTGTTACGTAGCGCTGCCTCATGGAATCCATGCTTGCTATGCACATAAGACCCACCCTCGTTGTTTGCTTGCTACCAGCGAGGAACAAGTAGAACAAGCAGTGCAGTGAGTACTGGTCAACTGTTCCCGTCCTTTTTGATCATGAACCGAGTCAGTCAGACAAAACGCAAAGAAGCCTCACATTAACGAGCTATGTCTCCCGAATTCCTTGCGATGCCTATCACTGAGGAAGCTATGACTTCTGATTCTGAAGTCCCTGCGCTGCCGGCTACTGAAGAAGCTCAGGACCCAACTCAAACCCAAAAGTCAGCTCAGAAGCAAGAATTTGTGGGCCACGAGGACTATGTTTGGGCTTTTGTCTTCTTGCACGACAATATCCACATCGTGAGTGGCTCGTGGGACTGCGACACGGTACTTCTTATCGGACAACCATGGACAGGTAAGGGAGGTTGCATACATGCATTAGCACTTTCACCGGACGGAAAGACAGTTGCGTGTGGAAGGATGGACGGAAGCATTCAGCGGTGGGACACCGACAGTGGAAAAGATGATTGAAAACGTTTGGACAGGTCATAGCCGGGAAGTAAGGTCACTGTCGTGGTCACCCAACGGAGACCATATTGCAAGTGGGTCCAGAGATGGGACAATCCTAATCCGAAAACTAGACAGCGGACAGACCGAGATGGGCCCGATCAAGACGGGGCAGCGTTGGGTGAATGTTCTTGTGTATTCACCTTCAGGCGACAAAATCGCATCAGGCGGGTTGAATGAGATGATCTGCATTTGGGATACAAAAACAGGCGAGCTCGTTATCGGTCCCATCGAAGAACTGGGGTGCAGTGTCACGTTGTTGTTGTGGTCGTCGGAAAGCAAAAAAGTTTACGCCAAATTTGTGCGTGTTTTGGACAGATATCGAATTGCATCGCTTCGAGCACAACGATTTGGTGAATTCTGTCGCGCTTTCACCCAAACACAATGTACTGGCCTGCGTGGGTCAGCCAGGTGTTGCACAACTATGGGACACAGAGTCCTATGAATCATTACTCCGTCAGCCATTCATTGACCGCCAAACTCTTCGCTGCATAGCATTCTCTCGAGATGGCAGATACCTAGCAAGTAGCGGACTTGACCAGAAACTCACTATGTGGGTGGTAAAAGACATGGTCCCTGAGCTTACAGTACGTGTTTGCACGCCCATACTGCAAGTTGACAAGCTATACAGTAGGAAAAATCAACCCCAGTCACCAACACCATCTTGCTTCGACGTCCGTACTTTCTCATCGGACCGCCTTTTTTCCATTACTCACGGATCTAACACAGGTTGATGTCACAAATCGTCAATCAAGGAGTGATGTGTTCACAGATCGGGAGTCAGATGATTCATACGGTGATTGCTTTCAGGTAAGCCTTGGGTTTTTTTGTGCGTCCTGGGGCACCAGTATTGACGATGAACAGACTTACCAGCCCTATCATCCTGCAGCACCACCTTCAGGACACTATCGTCGTTCTCGGAATCACAACCTATCCCTCACTCAGCACTTCTGGAATACTATTACAGGCTATTGCAGTCCCTTCTCGACGCCACTCGCCAGCAAATGAGTCCACCGCGCTGCAACCACGTCCCAAGCATGGTCTCTTTGCACAATACACTGGCCCGCAGCCCGTAAGCATTGCAGCTGGAGGGAAAAAGTGTAAGCACTGCATCAGGTGTCCCTCGTTCTGCTACATACATTACCAAATCTCCAGCGGATCTACGTAGGGCGTCCGCCTGTGAAGACTAGCACTCAAACTGGTCAGTCATCCTCAACGATAGCTCAACCTACAGCGCAGCCACTTTCGATGTCACGGCCCCAGACTCAGAGTCAGGTGCAGATGACAAAACAACAACCTGCTTCAAACGAAGACTACGGTTGCTGGAGCAATTTTGGCCTCGCATTCTGGTGCGTCCGCCGCGCTCGTCCTGTTGTTCCCACTGCTGGTCAGCTTGCTGCCTCGTAATGTTACTTTACCGAGGGTGTTTCAGTATTTCCTATCTCATTTTGTACCGCATCATTCTTGATTGCGTGTTTGATCAATCTAATTGCTTGTAAGGGTCTATTATGCCTGCTCTACTACGTAGATATGTTTTCCGCATGCATGCCTGGCAGACGTTCTATTACAAACAACATCAAGTGGATTGCGTATGCTCTCCATTTCGAAGTACCTGATAGGGCGCTTTTCACTTTGACATGGTCGACTTATCTAACATCCACGAAACGCGCGCGACGAAGGCGGAGTAGCGCAGAGGATTGCCTTTGGTTCCAGGCCGCCATTAACTCACCATTCCTGCAAAAATCTTTTGGGTTTGCTCTGGTGGGGCTGAGCCTCGGGAAACAAACTACAACACTACCACTGCATGTCCGAGTCAGTGGGAATGTGAGAGACCAAAACTTGGCGAGGCAAGAACTGTGAATCGGGCAAATGCTTCCGAGACACAGGAAGCGATGTACGGGCATGTGATTCTATTTCTTAGTCCTTACATGAAGTCTAGGCCAGAAGCTTGCTGTCTACTTATTTTTAACCTTGCTTATTGTACGAGATGTCCAAACCCAGCGAGTACACCGCCGAATGGCGCCAATGTCTGACAAACATAATTTTCCGGCTGCTCCCGCCCAACATTCACACATGGTTTGCCGTATGTCAGCTTGAATTGAGTGACAGACAAATAGAACGATGCTGCTCTGACCTACAGCGCCACATGTCGCTCACATGACTCGTCAAACGTCTGAGCAATGTTTGACCGCTACAGTGCAAGTGTTGGCTACAAAATGTTCCCACAGCGTCCAGTGTCGGATGTTCCTTAGATGTTTGACAATATGCTTGGGGCAGCACTCTACAGACCATGCCTCAGCATATGGGCCATGCCATTGGGACTATAGGGTTTACTATCGAGCAATGCACCATTGCTTTGTCGTACAGACTGTACCGTACAGTCACAACATTAATATCATGAACATGATGGCATTAAAGAGTGTGCGAGGGAATTACAGGCAAAGACAACGAGAATATGTATGTAAGTAGTAAACTACCACATCAACTTTTCATGGATCGCTCTTTGCCAACCAACAGTGACCGAATCCAAACTCGGAGCTAATGAACCGCCGCCAGGGAATATCTGGAGGTCTTGCTGAAGACATTCGGTGAAAAATCTGGAAATGAAGTTGAGAATTAGCGGTGTCAATTTTATCAATTGAAACATACTGTTTGATATAATCAGCGCGTGCTTGAGGAAACACATGCTTTTGTCGAGCCTCCTCTTTAAGCTCGTCAAGAACCTTATCAAGGTACTCCCAATACTGGCTAAAAGACCAAGTGCGCTCCTCCTCATTGTCGTTATCATCCTCCCCATCCTCTCCAAGTCCATGGCTCGCACTGGCAGTAGTACCAATTGGTATGTTATTGTCACCACCTTCGTCAGTCTGGGGCTGCAGACTCGGACCTGTTGATGCTTCTTCAGGTTGAGCGTTAGTGGTCTTCTGGTGAGAACATAATGTTCGGAAGTCAATTAGGAAAGATCGCTTATGAACATAGAGAAATAAGTTGTCGAAAGATGTTGATTGAAGAATTACTTACCATGAATGCAATCCGGGCCCAGTGCGCCATTGTGAGCTCTGTGCAGTTGCCTGCAAGACTGCGGGCCAGTGTGCTTAGATCTGAGCATTTCTCGATTGATGCAATAAGCTGTTACTGACGACATCAGCCTAGATGCATGATGTAGTCACAATTGGAGACATCACCTTCTGTTTCATATTTCCCCGCTGTGCTGTCAGTATCTTCTTCATCAGTACATCAAGCCGATCCATAGCATCAGAGTCCTGCAGTGCTTCCACAGGGATTTTGAAGACCGATGGATTTTTCTTGGAAAAATCCTAAGTGCGCTAGTTGTTCAAGTGAAAAGCAGTAGCTGGGAATGCCAATGACGCACAAAGATTTTTGCTGAAAGATCAGTGACATATGCTGTCAAATTAGGTGACAGTAAGCATGCACGAAGGCGATCACCTAAGGAACGCTTGTACATGACGGTAGTTAGCGCACGTATGGCTGTGAAACCAATGATGGAGTGAGTGTTACCTCAAAGTCCAGCGATTCGAGCACCTTGGCTGCTTCGGCTGCTTGAACCTTCCTATGAAAGCATGACAACTCGGCCATGAGCTTGATCATCATCAGTTTAATATCATTGATCTAGAACATAGAGCCACAGCAGATCACTTAGTCCTCAGGCGTTAAATGAGAGTTCTGCAACTCACAGTAGCAAATTCCTCTAAGCTGTTTTCAGGTAACCCTTTGCTCCTGCAGACTTCGGCAGCATATGTCTTCAATCTCTTGACTTCTTGCTGCTCGGTTTCCAATGAGTTTGTGCGCGGTCGTATGAGGCTACCTTGGCGTGGTGACAATGGTGATGATGGGGGCAACTGGTTGCGCCGTGTAGGTGTAGTAGCAGCTCCTCCATGAAACGTAGGACTCAGGAGAGTCACAGAGGGTGATGGCTGAGTAGTGGTAGTTTGTCGCCTGAATCGCGCTAGATACGACATCACTCCTCATCAAAACTGCCAGAGCTACTTGGACGATGGGAATAGAAGTGGTCAGCCTGAGCGAGAACAGGGATGGATACATACATTTAACTAGACCCAGAATTTACGCAGTACAATGGCATGCCCCATGCATGCATGCAAATTACACAGCTCACAGCCCAATGCAGTGCGTTGAATGTGTCCATTGAATTACGTTTCAATTCACGAAGACGTCAAAGTGGTTGCTTGAAGGGCGTGGGACCGTCAAACATGTTCACAGTTGAATCATTTGCACAAAAAGACCGTCAATTTGCTCGTTATCAGCTTAGATTCTATTATTATAGATTATTCTAATTCACAAAATGGTCAGTACTGCTGGCTGCTCTTGATCCGCTGTCTTGTTACTTAAGGGTCTTATATAAAAGTTGTGTATAATGACAACACAATTATACACAGTGAAGACTTCTTGCCAGTCCTTAAGTCCACGGTCTCCGACTTTTCTACTTCGTGGGAGGTAACGTGGTGAGTTCTTGGGAGGATTTAGTTTGTTGTCCTCTTCTTGTGTAGTTTGATACGAAGTGTTGTGGAATATTCTGTGTTCTGGATAAATTTGTTAGGTTTGTTTCAGCCTAGTAGGTCGTGTTTCAACCTATGAAAGTCTGTTTCAACTTTGTCGTCCTTAGATATGTGTCTCACTTTCCGTTGAAAGAGAGAGTCTTATGTATACACGTAAAGCTTAGAATGAGAGCTGTTCGATGGTTATATAGTCAATCCCTGTAAGGCAGTATATAACCTAGAGTAGAATAACGATAACGAAAGTTATATAGTCAACCCCTGTAAGGTAGTATATAACTTTAGAATAGAATAACGATGTGTCTTAGTCTTACTTCAAGGCACGTTGCCTGCACTTTTATTCTTACGTACTCTCACACGGTTTGAGAGAAGAATGAAAAATGGGAAGTTATATTTTATGGGTGAAAATGGGGTCCTTTTATACCTTTTGGGAACCCCCTTACTAAGCATGATTTATCAGATGGATTGGTAAGAATGTGGCTTACAAACCAGATGATGAATCAGCTTATTACTAAGTACATTACAAATACAGTGTAATCTTACAAAGAATTTACAAAGCATGACAAATCATGACAAAACATGATGAGTCATGTGAATGTTGTTACAAAGCATGACCAATCATGACTAAACATGTTGAGTCAGCTTAAATAATGTTACAAACCAGAATATTCCCCAGTCACATGATGTGCTGACAAATAAAATCTGGTGGCTGAAAGAAGCCAAATAAAAATAAACAGTCAGAAATAAATAGAGATACAAAACTTTGACAAACAAATCTGTGGCTGAAAGTAGCCAAATAAAAATAAATAATGAGAAATAAACAGAAGGTCACATGCTCATAAAAATACAAGGTAAAATAAATCTGAAAAGTGAGAAATAAAATACAAGACAATGAAATAAAGGAAAAATAGAAAGGTAACTCAGTGACAGAGGGCTAGACAGTCTCTCATATCTTCCTTATCACTCTCTATATATATCTGACATGGTATGAATCACATACCATGCATGACATCCACCCCGAACGAAAAATCGCAACTGTCCCCAGTTGAAGGGTAGGTCATGTCATTTTATTAATCATGATGTTGGTGACTCCTCCATCTGTTCTCTGGGTTGACAAGATGGTGCCATTCATCTAGGAGTCTGAAAATTTCAAAGTATACTGCACATGTAGGACATATTTGTGATAATGCTTCCTGGTGATTGTGATCCCAGAAGTATATCATTTGATTATAATGTGTTCTGATATCTTGAAAAATAAAGTATTTGTGAAGTTTATTGCAATCCTCTAAAAGGATGTCAAATAAACTTGCAATGTTCTGTTGAATTCGGTTTTCTATTGTGGTGTCTTTGCCGTTCATGATGTGATGTGTTTTGTTATTCGTCCTCTGAGAGGAAAGAAGTATCTGAATCTGATCCTGATGAATTTTTCTCAGAGTCTTGACCATTATCAAGAGTATCTGCAATTGATTGTAGAGTGGGATCATTTCGGCTTATATACGGAATTAGTCTAAAGGAGGCTACACCACGTCTAGACAAAGTTCCGTTCATTTCTTTAAGAATGTAGGATCCACCTTTGGTTTGTCTCTCGACAACAAAGGGTCCTAAGTATCGTGGTTTAGTTTTGCGATTCAGTTCTTTCTCAACTTGGGTATTTCGGACTAGTACAAGATCACCTGGTGCGAATGATTTTCTGCGCATTCTCAGATGATATTTCTGTTCAAACTGAAGCTTGGACTTAAATCTGGCCTTCTTTAATGTCTTAGCGGCACGTCTCAAGTCTTCAGGACGTCGTTCAATTTGGCGTATTCGTAATGCGAGGAAATCAACAGGATTCATATCCGTGTGAAATCCATCAACAAGGAATGTGGCTTCACTAAGGTCAAAAGGTAGAACAGGATGGACTCCATGTAATAGGTAGAAAGGTGAGAATCCGGTTGCACGGCTTGTGGTAATGTTTTCGGCAAAGAGTGCCTGAGGAACCTTCTCAGGCCATCGTGAGATGTGTTTTTCACAACTTTTAACTATTGCTTCTCTGATATTAAAGTGTCCACGTTCAACTACCCCATTTGCTTGTGAGTTGTAGGGTGAGATTTGAATCTGTGGAATGTCCACTTGTTGAAGTAAATTTTGGAATGCTCCCTTGACTTCGGAGCCATTATCGGTGACAATCTGTCCTATTGCTCCATATCGGCAATACAAGTCTTCCCAGAAAAACTTGGCCATAGCTTTGGCAGAGGCAGATCGTAATGCTCTTCCTTCTACATATCATGAAAGATCATCTCGAGCTAACACTAGATGCTTCATACCATTCCCGGCAGGCATCTTGAGTATGTCAATGTAGATCTTTGTGAAGATTGTGGCAGGTGTAGAGACTGTGATGGGTATGTGCATTTTCTTTGTGCTTCGAATCTGACAATCATGACAAGATTGTACATGGTGCTTAACATCGGTATACATATGTGGCCAGAAGAATCTATATCGAATAGTCTCAAAGGTAGACTGAACTCCTTTGTGGCCTAAATCTTCATGTGCTCCTGATAGTATAGACAGCCGTTTATCAGGATCAAAAATAACGAGCAAAGGGGGTCTATCTGGTAGACGCTTGTACATCTTTCCCTTTTGTACAAAGAATCGAGTTGTACGCTTGACAAATTTCTTGCGTTTAGCAGTACTTTCAAAACTTGGTGCTTCAAGTGTGGTAAGGAACTTGAAAATATCTGTCAAAGTCTGCTCTTGATCAGCAGCTGACAAAAATATAGATGGTAGGTTATTGGGATTATATGGATGTGTAGTGAAATTTGAGATTGACGTGAATAGGGCTATTTCGTCTAACCAAGAGTCATCTTCAGGGATAATCTCTTCGTCTGAAGCTAGAGGGCGTCTAGATAAGCCATCAGGCCCTCTGAAACTTGTTGCTGGTACATGGTGAAGTGTGAAATCAAATAGGAGAATTCCTTGAATCCATCTATTGATTGTGGCATTTGGTTGTAGGTCGGGCTCATTAAGCATGCCCTTGATATATTTTGCGTCAACTTCTACATGGAGGTTCTGAACTCCAATGATGTGAAGTCGGTAATGTCGAAGTGCTCTGAAAAGTCCATACAATTCTAACTTGGGCTGAGAGTATCGTGACTCTGCATCGCCCATAGGTAAAGAACCATATCGTGCTGGACGTCGTCGTCCTTCATCGTCTACTTGCGAAAGGATGATTCCTACAGCTATGAAGCTGGAATCAACTGATAAATATACGGGGTTTGAAGAAGTATAGTCAATGCTTCTCATTGCTGGTGCTGAACATATACGTTCCTTCAAAGTTTCGAAAGCAATATCTTGCTTATCTCCCCAAATAAAAGGGGCATCTTTTCTCCAAAGTTGGGTGATAGGTTTTGCTAGTTCAGAGAATCCTAGTATCCAAATACGAACTGTCCCACAAAGTCCCATAAATCCTCGGGCTTCTTTAATCGTAGTGGGAATTGGCCAGTTGAGAATTTTGGACACTTTCTCGGTATCAGGTAGTCTTCCTTCCGGAGTACAGCGCTGTCCTACAATAAGGACGTCTGGAAGGCAACACTGAATTTTCATAGCGGAGAATGTTGCACCTACGTCTTTTATACGGTGCATGATACGGTGAACATCATTTGCATGTTCCCAAATAAATCGTCTAATCCCTGGGTTTTCTTCTAAGACCTCGGGATTACCTTCATCGTCAGGATAGATAGTTTGTGGACCTTTGACTGGAAGGTCATCTATGAAAACATTGGCTACATGTGGAATTTCATCCTGCAGTACAAAGCTGGTACATTTCTGAAATTCTGCAGGTGCATTTGTATAGCCCATTGGCAAGGCTGTTAATCGCAGCAGTCCTAATGGTGTTAGGAAAGCTGTAAGATCTCTACTTTCTGGGTGCATTTTACGTGCATCAAATCCCCAGAATAAATCGAATACGGTGTAACACTGAGCTCCAGCAAATGACTCCACAAAGTCATCCACTATAGGAATGAGGCCAGCATCTCGAATAGAAATTTTGTTGAGAGGTTGAAGGTCATGGACTAGTCTTAGTTTGCCATTCTTCTTGAGTACACAGAACCAACGTGAACGGTATGCAGATTGGCTTGGTTCGTATACTCCTGCATTAATCTTGGACTTTAGTAGTTCAATAACTTTTTGACGTATCCCCGGTGGGATAGGAATATTCTTATATTCCCAAGGTACATGAGGTACAGTGGGAATGATATATGGGGTGAAATATGTTTCTTTGAGAGTCCCCCTATCTGTTTCTTCAAATGCTAGGGTCTCTTGATTTAAATTCATGATGTGTTGAAAAAGTTTATCTTCTTCAGGCCAAAGAAATCCTTGTGAATTTATCTTAAGGTCAACCATACGATCATGAGTTAGACGTCCATTAGGAACAAATTCAGGAGGATGTGGGGTTAACGGGATTAGATTTC